TTTTCGTAAAAACATATATCATTAATTTAATATAGCAAAAATTTCTGCATTCATCCATTTATAATTTACCTAAGTGTATGAATACAATAATAAATATCATAGGTAAGATATGCAATAAACTTAATAATAGATATTAAATGCAAAAAAAAAAACTTGATAACAAATATTAGAATCTGATAACAGATATTTTGATAATAGATATCAAATGCAAAAAAAATTGATAATAAATATTAAAGCTTGACAATAGGTATCTTGATAATAGATAATAAACGCGAAAAAATTTAGTAATAGATATTAAAACTTGATAATAGATACCTTGATAATAGGTAATAAATGCAAAAAAACTTGATAATAAATATTAAAACTTGATAATAGATATTGATAAACTTGATAATAGATATTAAAACTTGGTAATAGATATCTAGATAATAGATACTAAACCCAAAAAAACTTGATAATAAATATTAAAACTTGATAACAGATATCTTGATAACAGATATTGATAAACTTGATAATAGATATCAAATGCAAAAATTACGATAAAAAACTAAGATGCATTTTACATTATACGAATGAGAAAAACAAAGAAAAGTCCATGACAAAAGGTCGAAAGAAAAGAAGGAAAAAAAAAAAGAAACTACCTTTTTGAACAGATATATTATCATTTATCATTAATCTTATCCATCTCTACTACTTCCCCATTTTCATCATTAAAATATTTTTGATAAAAATTACAATTAGATAAATAATATTTAAAAATTGAATGGAAAATAATAAGGAAAAATTAAAAAATCAAATTAATTAAATCAGATTAACAATTAAATAAAATTAAATTCTTTTATATTAACTAAAATACTTATCATTTCATATATGCATATACACTCCAACACAATAAATTACAACCAACCGGGACAATAAATGATATTTAGTTATCTACTTATATATATACGTATACACATGTATACGTGCGTGTGCATATATACGTATGTGTGTGTGTATGCATGTGTATGTATGTATGTATATGTATGTATGTATATGTACGTATGTATATGTATGCATGTATGTATGTATATGTATGTATGTATGTATATGTATGTATGTATATGTATGTATGTGCATGTGTATGTGTATGTGTGTATGTGTATTTATCTGTCTGTATGGGTATATGCGCATTTGTTACAGATAATGTATCGTTGCAACCAGTACAGTGACATTGTATATCGATAAAAACGACAAAGCTTATTGATCAACCCTTTCTCCTTCGTTTCCATATAAGTCACATGGGAAATGTAGGACAAGTGGAAGGTCAAGAATAATTACAAATACATTTATATCCATGATAAGGAAGGATTGGATAGATTAGTAAGTCTATAGGTCTATAAGGTTAGATAGATTGATAAGTACAAGATTGGATAGATTAGAAGGTCTATAAGGTTAGATAGATTGACAAGTACAAGATTGGATAGATTAGAAGGTAAGAAAATGAACTATCTTAAATTAGTAAATGTATGAAAAATGAATATCTTTAATATTTTCTTTTACATCAAATATTAAGCTTGAAAAATCAATTGAATTTAAGAACTTAAAAATTCCCCAACTTATTACAAACGATATTTTTATTGATTATATAACTTAGAACATTCTAGACTATAAAAATAATAATAAGCATGTAAATAGCAATAATTATTTCATTCCACGTGTATTTTCAACAATTTTAATGTCCAGAATACACCTAAATTATTGATACTTGGGAACAATTCTTTTCTTTTTTTTAAATTTTTATCCAAATATTACCAATTCAAATGTACAAATCTTTCATTCATAACTACAAATAGTTATCGAACATTGAGTGCCAGAAAAGTTGAAATATATAAATTGGGTATATTTTAGATTCAACATAAATTTAAATCGTAATTTGTTTATTTATTACAAAGTCGACTACAACAACAATGACAAGGAGCTGATCGGAACAATGAATAGGAAAAAATGAAACAAAAGGAGCAATCATCATGATATTGTAAAAAAAAAAAAAAACAAAAAAAACTAGTTTTAATCACATGAAAATTGCTACCAGTTTCGATCAAGTAGGTAGGAATATTTAAAAAGTAATTGAAGAAATTAAATTTAACAAAATGACTGGATTTGGATAAATACCATCTTATTGAAGTAATCCAAGTGATATGACAAATCAAATTTGACAAGATTTTCTGTAACATTAAAAAAAAAAGTTTTTAATTTTTATCTTTAATGTAAACCATCTTATTGAAGTAATGACAAACCATATTTGATAAAATCTTTCGTAACAAGAAAAACAAAAAGATAAAATAAACTTTTTAATTTTTATCCCTTCTTAATTATGATGTAAACCATCTTACTGAAGTAATTCAAATGATAAGACAAAGCAAATTTGATAAGATCTTCTGCGACGAAGAAAAAAAGTAGAAAAAATAAAACGAACTTTTTAATCTTCATCTCTTCTTAATTATTGGTTTTAAACTTTCATCTTTTATTTCAGGATATAGAAAACGAGAAATGATAAATACAATCCTTACTTTTACCTATTTTATCATTTCGATCATTAATATATTTCATCTAAAAAAAAAAAAGAGAAGCATGCTTGACGAAATTTTATTAATTGTTGACATAAATAAATAGTTATAATGATTTTAATAATATTAACAGAGAGTTTATTCTTTATATACTTTATAAGATAGTTATCAGTAAAATAATCAATGGATAGAATTGATTACTATGTTGTTCCTTTTTTTTTTTTTTAACTTTCTTATCTTTCATAGGAGAAAATTGAATGGGAATTTGAATTAAGGTTGTGTAATTTATTCAGAGGATATATGTGATAGTATTAAATTATCAAAAATCACTTATTAAATCATATCATTCATTAAACAAATGACGACAGTCATCTTTCTCCCCATATATATATATATGGAAGTTTGTTTAGAATATTTGAAATATTAAATATAAAATGTTTTAATTATCAAATTGAAAGATTATTACAACAAAGAATAATGTAGCAATTTAAATAAAAGAAATAATAGTTGAAATATTTTAATTCAAGAAACCAACGAATAATATAACAACTACTGAATAATTGAATAAAAAGGAAGCTGCTTTGACAAATATTTTAAATCATTGGACATATATATATATATATATATATATCAGATAGAAGATCTTTGCAATATTGTAAAACATTACATATCAAGCTTATTTATCAGATTGGGATGAATCATCATGTTAAATAATGAAATATTTATTTATTATTTTATTTTAAATATAACAAAATCATAATTATGAATTTATTTCAGTTATTATTTTACGATATTTCCTCAAAATATTTTAATTGTTCAACGTATTTATATTATAATATAAAAAATTAAAGTTTTCAAAACAAAAAACATAGAAAAATTAATGCTGTAGAAAAAAAAATTTTCGGTTATATCATTCCAGCAAAGCATTCTATATTACAAGTTTCCTTTTCTTTTTTTTTTTTTAAAAAAA